CCCCCTTTCTCTCTTCCCCCCCCCCCCCCCCCCGCGTTCAGGTTGGATCAACGGAATGGAGAACAGCACGCAAGCCAGCACTTCTGTCGAGAAAAGAAATCACCATTGGAGAAGTTACAAGTTGATTATTGACCCGGCTCTGAAAAAAGGACAGCACAAACTCTACCGTTACGATGGGCAACATTTCAGCATGCCTGTGAGTGGGGGGCTCCCGGGTTTCCCCCATTGTGTCGTGTCTCCCCCCCGGCAGCCTCTGTCTTACCGGCGTTTTGGGAGCCGGGGGTCCCTCCGGGTCGTGGTAATCCCCACCGTAGCACATGTGTGTGGGAGGGGGGGTCTGGTGGGGGACACGCACAGCCACCAAAGTTACAGCCACCTGACACTGTGTATTCAACTGTCAGGAGCCCAAACCTGCGGCTTTTTTCTGTGTTTCCAATCTGTGTGCATTTCCCAGCAGTATTGCAATTTGACACGTGTGTGTATGTGTGTGTGTGTGCGCTTTCCCCTTCCCTTGAGACACCCCGTGCTTTCTCGGGGTTTATTTTTTCTTTTATTTTTGTCTTAAATTTTAAGTCTTGTTATTGCTGTTTCTGTGTTTTCTCTCCTCCTCCTCGGTCTCCCAGAACTCGGGGATCGCTCCTGTGGATTGTGTCAGGGATCCCAGAATAGGGCGAATATGGACCAAAACTAAGGAGTTGGAGCTGTCTGTCCCCAAATTCAAGGTACTGCCCTGACTTTTGGTGTAGACTTGTTTATCTGGGAGTGAAGCCTGAGTTCCAAATAGTTTAATGGACCGTTTAAATGACAGTCATATTTCTATTAACATTGTTATTTAGCAAACTGTGTAACAGTAATCTTCTCCTATGAGGATAACAAGAAATCAATGTATCTGTCTAACGAGATCACTTGAAGGTTTTGGAGCTGGGGCGGGGGGCAGTGGGGGGGCTCTCCGCTGACAGTACTGCTCAAAATGCATCTTTGTAGCCCAGAAAGGAGCCGGTTCCCATGAATGGCTGCAGCGGCAGAGCCTCTGCTCAGCTCCGAGGTTCACCCAGAGCCTTGGAGGCTTTTTTTCCCCCCCAAAGTTTGCAGGATGCTTTAACCCCCTCCCTCCCGTGCCATCCTTAGGCCCCTCCCCCACACTCATTAACAATGCCGATTATTTTTATCGTTCCCCACCTTGTGCCCGTTTCCAGATTGATGAATTTTACGTGGGGCCAGTGCCTCCCAAGCAGGTCACCTTTGCCAAGCTGAACGACAACATCCGTGAAAACTTTTTGGCCGACATGTGCAAGAAATACGGCGAAGTGGAAGAGGTGGAGATTCTTTACAACCCCAAGAACAAGAAGCACCTGGGCATTGCCAAAGTCATCTTTGCCACTGTCAAGGGTGCCCGGGAGGCTGTGCAGCACCTTCACAACACTTCTGTCATGGGCAACATCATCCACGTGGAGCTGGATACAAAAGGTAAGGGGGTACACTTGTGCCTCATGCGTTTGGGGGTTGCAGAGCCCCTGCCTGTCCCACTCCCACCACCGAGGCTGTTGCGGAGGGCAGGGACCTGGTGATTAAAAATACGAAGGGAGCCGGCAGCGGGTCTGGTGTCTGGGGCCTGGGCGAGTCACGTGGAGCCAAATGTGTTGTCTGTTGCTAAGAGACAGCCCTGTAATTTGCAAAATGCTGCCATCCTGCCTGTCCCCTGCCTCTCCCCTGCCCGTCCCTGTCCCTGCTCGCTGCCCTCTCATGTCCCCCGTCTCCCTGCCCCGAGCTGGTCCCTCTCAGCCACCTGCCAGGGCTGCGGGACCCGGTGGCACCTGCGTTTTACAACCTTGGGATTTTTGGGCAAGTCCTGGTGGTTCGTGGGACCCAAATCTGTGGGTTCCGCTGGCAGCAGCGGGGCTGGATGCTGTCCCCTGCGTGCCTGGCATTTCATTGATACTTAGAGCGGGCTGGGGGCTGGCACAGCAGAGTGCACACGCAGCACTTGTCAGTGTGTGCGAGTGTATAAGTGTGAGACTGGCTCTTAAAGCGACAGCAGCTCCCTGTGCTGCAGGAACCAGCTCCCAGCCCCATTCCCGAGCCTTCAGAAGCCCAGTAAAGTTTCTGCAAGTGTGAAGGCATTGTATTTGGTCTGTTCTCTCTCCTCCAAGCATGCTAGTGAAAGGGCTTTGCTAAAATCTGCCTGAATTTTAGAAAATGTCCAAGACTGGGGAGGTGTGGATCAGTTGCTAATTGTATTTCTACATTCTAAAGATGGCATTTCTAGTTTAAAACTGGCTTGCTGCACTCTTTCTTGGGAAAAAGACATTGCTAACACCATTTTCTTAAAAATGCTGATATTTTTGTTCTGTATTTAAACGTTTCAACAGTTTAGTGCACAACCAACACAGCAGTTGGTGTGCCACATGTGATAGAGTAGAACAGGATGTTTATTGACATTACTGACCACTGTTAGAAGAAAAATCACAGTAGCAGTTTAATATTTTCTATTGGGAGCCAGGCTTGACCTTACATGTGTATACTTTGAAAGTCTAGTGTCAATAATTTTTACAGACAGGCTCCTTCCCTTGCTTTGAAATTTGAAAGTAAAATTCACACTTAAGGACAAATTAACCATTTGCAGATTTAATAATATAAGCTAAAGCTGTTCTGTTAGTGATGGATATCTTAATGACGATCATTTTAAACAAGCTGATTGTACTGCCTTCCTCCTTGTTCTCCTCCGTTTATAAACTATGCAGCAAGTCTTTACCAGGCAGCTGTTCCAGAAAGTTTGTAGCACATCAGGGAAATGAGGGGGGGTTTATGCTTCTGTTTCCTGGGAGAAAATGCTGAAGTCAGTTTCAAATTGCATTGCTGTTGTGTTTGCCAGCTTTATGCTCCTAATGTATTTTTTCACACAGTTGCTTCTCTTTCGTTCTAAAAGAATAGGACTGTCAGTGTGCTATAATCTGTCAGAATCAAGCAAAAATGGTGTTCCTAAAATAGCATCAGCAGGTTAAGACATACTTAAAATATATATGTATCATTTTCACCGTTTCTTTCTGGTATTCTGCTTTGCAAGGCAGTGAAAGGTTGGTTAAAAACTTTGTTTTCACAGTGTAGCAAAATAAATATTAGGAGTGAAAGTATCATTTTTATCTGTCTGGTGTTAGCACAGGCCTGGGAATCTGAAGCTAATAAATCCAGGCTCCTCATCTGAGACAGGGTTGTTTAAAAAAACTTCTCAGTTTATCCATCTACAGACTGGACACAACTAGTAATTACGTGTCTTAGAGCAATAGCTAGGAATCATTTCACATTCATAAACCTGTTTGAAATTGTAACTTTTCCTGCTTTATGTTTGGGATCCAGGAAGAACTATGTAACAGTTACTTTATAATTTTTTTAAATAGCAAGTGAAAATAAGCCTAACACTTCCATATCTGTGGCATTGTAGTGTCATGTGTGGGTGGTGTGTGTTAATATTTCAAGCTTATCTTCAGACTCTTGCAGTGAAGAGATCTATTTTGTCATGACTTTGGTTGAACTTAAACAGTTTACATAGTTGAGGATGAGGCTCAGGACTTTGTGAAATGAGATTTGATACCCAAATAACTTCATCTGTAGCATTTGTGCAAGATAAATAAGTCTTTTTCAGGACAGAATTGTGCTAAGGGTTGCTTTGTTTTTGAATTGAACAGGGTAATTCACAGGGAGTTTGGGGTTTGATCCTACAGGACTTTCTCATAAAAGTAGTCCTGGTTTTGGGAGGTATTGCCTGAATTAATTTTCTGGCCTCAGGTGCCTGGTCTGTCCATTTTTCTATGTATTCTTTATCTCTCAGAGCAAAATTCAGACAGTTTCAGGGTCTGATTCTATTGCCTTTGAAGCTGATGACAGATTTCTTACAGACTGCAAAATAAGTAGGATTAAGTTTTTGTAGTAATGAAAAATTCAATATTAAGAAACTGGGTCTTTGTAGACTTTAGGAATGAAAAGGCTGAGGCTCACTAATGCTATATGGGACAGTTTGCTTCTCTGGCTTTATTCTTCGAAGGATGCCACTGAGTTCTCCTTAAACTAGGGGGAAAAAAAAGGATTCATTGGTATCCTTTTGGAAAGACAGCATCAACAGTTTTGTCCTCAGCATTCCCATGCATTGTGTTTGCATCAGTAACAGGCAGTTCTTATGAGCAAGGTGTGTAGGGAGAGCTTTCTGAAGTGGCTCTGGGTGTTGGCAGAGGCTTCTCCCTTGGGTGAGAGTTTCACTTCTCAAATCTGCAAGCTTTGCTTGGCACTTTGGAGAGGAGGGAAACGGCTGCGCTCCAGAAAGCATGGTAAAGAGCAGAGCTGCCAAGGAGGCTGAGAAGAGGAAAAAGGATTTAGAAACCTCCTTGTCTTGGCTGGAGAAGGCAGTGTGTGACTTCACTTGCCCAGCAGATTATTATAAAATGATCCCTGCGAGCTCTGAGGTGATAACTGCTCCTCTCTTGCACGGATGGAGTGGGCTGGGAGTGGTAGCAGGGTCATGTGAGTGTCAAGAGTGTGTATTTTTACATGGATTGTGATCTTTCTGTTTAATCAGCTCTTGCATTGTGGTCTGTGCAGGTGAAACCCGCATGAGATTCTATGAACTGCTGGTTAATGGTCTTTACACTCCTCAGACCCTCCCTGTAGGCACCGAACAGGATGTGTCCCCAACTGGGAACGAAGCTCTCCAGGTAGGTGTGCTTAACTTTTCTTAAAGAAAAACTTCCAAGAAAATCTCAAACATTAACATTAGTGTTTTAACATTTTTAATTTATGTGTATTTGTGTCCTGCTGTAGTTCCAATGGATGTTACTAATTCACATTTAAATAGAACTTGCTCATAATTGCCATAGCAAATGTATGTGGAATGTGGAGCACATGGCTGGTGTGTGCCTGCTTTGCACGGGAAATGCTTTTTGTCTTTCTGAGTGAAAAATGCCTACAGAACCAACAGAACGTGCCCTATTAACATTAGAAATTCCTGCAGTTAGGACTGGATCAGATCTGTCCCTGAGATGAGATTTTTCCCTTGAAGTCAGGGGCATGATTTACAGTGGTACATTTGGCCTGGCGTCTGCGGCGTGTAATCCTCAGCACGCACGGACTTCAGCCTTGCTTAAAGGCTAAGAGGTGGAAGGTGTCTGAGCTTCAATAGTGGCATCAATTTTCCAGAATCTTAATTAGTTGCTGGAATCAGCTTTTAATAAAAGCAGTGGACAGAATTCCTGCGGGCTTCCAGGGGTCCCTTGATATTTAGGGCACAGTTCTCTCAGTGGCTTTGCACGATTACCTGCTTCCCTGCGAACCCTACTGGGATGAGAGGGCCAGGGGGAAGGGAAGCCTGTTTGTGTGAAGTTACCAGACTCTTTGGCTTGTCTAAATGTACTTTGGCTCCTCATTGTAAAGGAAATTATTTAAGAAATTATTTTAAGGCATCAAATTTGAAAGAGATTTGGAAAAGATATTTTTCCTGCTCTCTACTCATACAACTTCTTAAAATGCAATGATTTAATTAACTCTGTGATCAAGTGTTCTCAGGACAGGTAATAGCTGTACATGGAACATGAAAATCCCATTGATCTGAAAAAAAGAAATGTCTCCTCCCACCAAAGCACCCCAACAGCAGCAAGGCAAAACCCTGGTATTCTTTTAACAAAATCATAAAAGAGGTTGGTTCTTCCTTACCTCCCAGCAAGGTGCTTTTAAAGGCAGGAGGGAGACAGGTAATGATTTTGCTGGGAACCCTGCTATGAGTAGACCCTGACTGCTCATTTCTGCTACTTCCACATCTCAAATAAAAATGGGTAGATTTGTTCTTACTCTTTTTTTTCAGGGTTAACAACAAATCACTTAATTGATGGTATCACCCAGAGCAGTTCCTGCTGTAATTATCCTTAAGATTCTTTCTCTTATCTGTCTCTAGATATTGTGTTCATGTGTTATATTATTGTCCTGAATTGATTTTTTTTCCAATTACCACCAAAATTATTGCTTTGTGAGTAACTTTTAACTGTTTGCATCATGGTTTTGACACTAGGATGTGCCAACAAACTTGTTTGCTGTTGTAGTTCAGTAAATTACTCCTGACATTTGCTCCTCCTCTCATATAGAGCAGCAAAGTTCTGACGGTTCTGCAATCCCTGCCTCCAGGCCATACACAAACCCCACTGAAAAACACTCCACAGCACATCTACACTAAAGGTGCAGCAGTGTGGATGTTGTTAAGAACTAACCACGTGCTTCCTGCTCATTTCTGTGAGTTTTAGGACAGTTGAGGAAGAAACTTTCTTGATGTCTCTCTGGTCATGGTGTCCAGGGGGTCAAACAGAGAGCAAGTCCACACTACTGAGTGGGTGAGACGTGTGAACATAGCAGGCAGGTGAGAGTTCAGCTTGAGTTTGATGATGCTGGCATGTTCCAAGCAGGTCATTTTACACATCTCTGCCTACCTGTGCTTAAGAGGTCTCACCAGTTGACTATCCTGGCAGCTGGAGCTCTGTCCATCCTCTCTTGCTACCAGGAGGATTCTCACTGAGCTCCTGCTTTGCATTATGGAAAATTGATTCTGGAGCTGATGATAAGTGTGGCACTGTTATGACTCAGCAGAGTCTGAGCTGGAGCTGGGCTGCTCCTAGAAATCCCCTGAACGTGCTTGTGAAGTGAGTTGCAGAGCATTTACTTGGCTGCTCTGTAGGTTTGTAGGGTTTCAGTTTCAAACACCATAATCAGTAACACTGAGCATTTGACTTTGTGAAAAGCTTTAAAATGGTGTTTTTCTGGCAGTTGAGAACTTTTTGTATGTGTAGCTTTCTCCCTTGTTATGGAGGAGTGCTAGGGAGGATGGTGGACCAGGTCTGCTGCATAGGTTTGGCTGCAGGCTGGCAGTTCACTCATTTGTATGTTTTGATTTGTTCACCAAAAAAAGAGATAAATTGACAATTTCACATCTCAGACTTTCCTTATTTTCTTCCCTGTTTGCAGTTTAGACAAGCATTACATAGTTGCTAGAAACTGGAACTCTTCCAGCTGAAAGTGGTGTGGAAGTCTCCTGTTCACCTGATGCTCTTGGGGGTAGCTTACAAGGGAAACTTGTATCTTCTTTCTTCTTCCTCCCCTTGCAGACAAGTTACTCTTTTCCTGACTTTTTCTTTTAAATCAAAGAGGACTGTTAGCAATGGATAATGGTTTGTGTTTTTAGGGATGCTGTAACCTCTTAATTTTTTTGCCAGCAATTAGCACGAACTCCTGGGTGCTCAACTTCTTTGAAAACCAAACAGATTAGATAAATATCATTATAGAAGTGTGTGTTTAGGTGTTTTTTCTCTTGTGTTGTTACAGTTGACGGACTCCCTGAAGCGCCTGAAGGACAGTTCCCTTTCTTCCGCGGGCTCCTCCGTTACCCCAAACAGCAGCACGCCCTTTTCCCATGACACAGCCTATTCCAGCTGCCGGCAGGACACCCCAAACTCCTACAGCCAATTCACCCCACAGTCCCAAGGAACACCCCACACCCCGCGCCTGGGGACGCCGTTCTCCCAGGATTCCACCTACTCCAGCCGACAGACAACGCCTGTGTACCATTTTGGGCAGGACAGTGGGTACAAGCCCAGGAGGCACGAGACAAAATTTACGGATGCATACAACCGTCGCCCGGGACACCACTACATGCACAACTCGGCGGGGGTGTTCCGAGGCACAGAGCATCAGTTTAGTACATTCAAATCCCATCAGCAGGAGCCAGTTCAGTTCTCTCACACTCCTCCCCTGAGCCACTCTAGTTCCTCGAGCTATAAATCTGCCTTCTCCCCCTATCAAGCACCAGCTGTTTTTCCCCAATCCGAGGAGCAGCCGCCGTTTCCCCAGACTTCCAGGGAGGCAGAGTACCGGAGACCTGCACCGCCTCCCACCGAGATGGTTGTGGAAAGCAGCGCTGCCCCAAGCATCGACTTTGTCCCAGTGAAGGAGAAACCGGAGGAGCCTCCGCCCTTGCCCGACTCGAACTCTGTTCCTGAACCAAGCACAGCGTCCTTCTCTCAGACTCCAGAGAGGAGTGAGACCCCTGGCACCCCCACCATGGAGACTGAGATGCAGCATAACAGTTTAGACTCAAGGATTGAGATGCTCTTAAAAGAGCAGAGAACAAAATTACCCTTTCTTAACGAGCATGACTCAGATAATGAGATCCGAATGGAAGGTAGCCCTATTTCCTCCTCTTCTTCCCAGCTTTCCCCCATCCCAACATACGGTTCAAACTCTCAGCCTGGTTTCAGGGGTCAGACACCTTCCTCGCGCCCTTCCAGCACAGGCTTGGAGGACATCAGCCCCACACCCTTACCTGACTCTGATGATGATGAGCCCATCCCTGGGACAGCTTCTCTGAGTCAGAATTCCCGGGGGACATCGGAGGCCAGCATGACTCCCATTGATCAGCTGAGTAGGACCTCCAAAATTGAGACCTCGGAGGCTAAAGAAATGGTGCCTGGTGACCAGACTCCAACGTCAGAAAAAATGGACGAGGTAAGTGAGCTGGAACTGAGTTATGAAGCTTTGCATGTGTCCCCAGAGCTGGACAGGGTGGGGAATTGCACTTGTCTTTGTGTCGTCAGAGCTTGGGGTTTCTGCTGGCTTTTCCTTTTACTCGAGCCAGCTGGAAATGAGTTAGATGTGACACAAAGTAATGGTCTTAATCAATTTGCAGTCTCCAGCTTTCCTTATTTATAATACCAGCCTGCTGCAATTTATAGCTTCAGGAGAGCTCAAGGACTGCAAAAGCCACCAAAGTTTGGCCAGTGCTCAGGCTGTGTGAATGTCCTGAGTGTTGACAGACACTTAAGCCACTAGAGGAGTTAATGGAGCACTTTCTGCCATTGCTGTGGTCCCTGAGCAGGGGTGTGTCTGCAGGCACACACTTGCTTAACGGGGCTTTCATGTTGCACTGAAGTATTGAGTGTATAGGGTGTTTGAAAGCTTTCCAGCTATTCCTGCCATCTGGTTCCAACGGGAGACAGTTGCTGGGTTTTAATACTCACTTTTCTTGGGAGGGAGGGAGTATTTGAATGGGGGAGGCAGTTGACTTGTGGGGGTTATGCTCCACTGAGTCTTCCAATAATAGAGCGGAGCTTGTTGCCTCTGCCGGGGCATTTGTGGCTGAAGGGGGAGACAGAGCTGAACAGTGTGGAGTGGTGCCAGCAGACAGGAATTATGTTGCATGGTGTGTCTGTTTGGGAGGTCTGTTGCAACAAATGTGAGTATCACTGCAGTGGATGTGTTGGTCCTATTGTGCTGTGTCAAGGAACAGTCAAAATACAGATCTTTGCAAATGCCAGACCTTTCTCTTCAGTGTTTATAGTGGTCATGCAAGCAGATGAAACTGCTGCCACTGGTGTGCAAGAATGCTGCAGTCAACAGGACTGGTCTTGTGTAAATGTTCCGAGTATGGTAGATCAATTTAATTTACCCATGAAAGTTTATTGGGGTTAAGCTGGCAGAATGGGTTTCCCTCCAGTGGTTTGCAGTTGTGAGGTTTTCACCAGAGAAGTGGCTGCATTTCGGGAGAGGAGGAGCTGCTCCCGTAGCCATGGGCTTTGCAGGATGCTTCACAGGAGGGAAAGCTCTGTAGCAGTAACACAGTGCAGGTCGGGGTGCTAAATAGTGAAAACAATGTGACTGCGCTGGATATTTTGTTTTTTTCTGCATGCCTTTCCCTTTCCAAACCTGCTTGTCCTTGCAGTTGCCAGTTTAGCCTTTGAAACAGTTCAGCTGCTTGAGTTCTCATTCATCATCCAGGCTGGCCCAGGCTCCCCTCTTGGGAGGCAAGTCCCTGGCTGGTGGGGCCTGATGATGTGTTAATTAGGAATGAAGTTTTGATTCCTTAAGCTCCGGTCTGGCAAGCTTAAGAGGGGACACTGTTAGTTTGACTAAAAACCAGTGAGGAAGACATCTCTCATCTCCTTGCCTTTCTGCGTTTGTATCTGCTGTCCTTGCACTCATACGAGTGGGTTGCAGCCAGTTCTGAGTGTGTTTAGGAAGATGGGTGGGTGCCAGCGTGGTGTGTGGGGTCAGGCACTTCTTGTGCTGACTCTGGGTTTGGGGGACTGGCTGGGATGTGATGTAGGTTGTGATATGGGGCAGCAGCATGCTGATGTTGAAGCCCATGTTGAATCTTTTCCCTTAATGAGATGCTGGTGTCAGAAGTTCACATCAATGGTTCTGTGATATAAAATTATGTAAGTGCCTCAATCCTCTGCAGAAATCAGAAGGGTGGTAGCAGGGTCCCCATGCAGGTCATTGCTGCTTTATTTGTCTCCTTCCCAAAAAAAGTTGATGTTTGTTGTTGGAGCTGTTTATTCAAACTTCCTCTTGGTTACAAATCACACTGAGCTATTCTGACGTGTTTGAAAAGTTGCCTGTGCCTTTCATTGCTCCTTGTGATGCAGAAAAAACGATCTCCATGTGTTTCTGCTTCCTTTCCCCACCCTTCTCCCCACACAGTTTTTTGCTTTAGAAAAAGGCTCTTCTGGCTTCCCTCTCTTTTGCTGAAGGAGCAGAGCTGAACAGTGACTTAACATAGGCTGAAATTTGAGCTGCAGCTTTCCAACTGAGTATGAGAGGGGCATTGAGTCTGTGTAAGGGCTGGAAAGCTGAACCTCTAGCTTCAGCCTATTGTGATACCACTATTCTACTCCAGTCCTTCAGAGAGTCCTCCAGTAAAACAGAGGGAAGGCAGACACAAATATTTCTTGTGACTGTGTGGCTTGGGGAACAGAGCAGGGATGATATCTTAGTGTAGGCAGGCTCATTAAGTATCATAAGGAAGCAATAAAGAGCAGAGAGTTTGAACTTATTTACTTAATATTTGCTCCTTCAAGGGTTAGAGCAGCCCCAGGCCAGCTCTCTTTGGGTGGGTGCTCTAGCTGGGAAAATGACAGGATTCATGGGGATGCCAGCAAAGTCACAAGGAAGTTTTTCCTGAGGTGATCAAAGCTTTTGAAGGACCTCCTCCTGTTTCCCATCAAAACAAGCATGATTTTTGTCAATGATTGCTGATACAGTAACATTTTTTCTATAGGTGAAGTGCTGTCAAATTGTCAGGCAGATTAACCCCCCCAGACTCGCCATAAGTAGAGGAGGTACAGCCAAGCCTAGCAAATGCTCTGATTTATCATGCAAGACCCTGGAGTTTGATTTCAAGATCCGGTATGATACTCCTAAGCCAGAGTTTGGCAGGGATTTTGGGTGTGGGAGAGGAAGGGCTCTGCATCTGTCTGCAACACCTAACCCGGCTAATCTCGGAGCAGTGATTAAGGTCTGCAGAGAAAGTCCAGCTAAGCTTAGCCAAGGGACCAGGCTGAGAGGTGGAACAGTGGGATTTGGGGAGGGGAAGGATCCTTTCCAAAAAGAACAACCTGCCAGACAGGAAGGCAGGGCAGAGAGGGCTTTTTCAAGAAACTAGAAAATGGCAAAGAAAAAACAAAAGAAAAAAAGCTGAGCTGCATTGTTATATGAGGGAAATTTTTGAGGGAGCAACGTACAAACTTTCCTTCCTATGTGCTTGAGAAGATAAAAAGAAAAGAATTATAATAATTTCTTTTCACAGGATTTTTGCTCTTTCGGAAGTGCAAAGGTTAAGTACGTACAGTTTGACGTTTTGACATCCCATCTGAGCCAGGTCTTGTTTTGGCTTGGCTTGTGGCAGGAAGAGGCCCTGTCTTTGTGCTGGGGAGGGTGACAGGATTGCAGCGAGTCACTTTCTGGTATATTGATGATGCCTTTCATGTTTCAGCTTATGAATGTATCAGTTTGTGTGCATAGCCAGTGTTTAGTAGGAAGACTGTATGGTTGACAATGGTATTTTTCCAGATTTATAAGTACAAAAGCACTTTTTAAATGAGGGGTCAGCAGTCTCCTGTTCTCCTGGTAGTTTGGCTAAACACTGAGTTAGTGAGGTGGGAGGGGCACCTTAAAAATGATCCAAAGATCATCATAAAAATAAAGATCCTGAAGCATGAGGCGAGAGCAGGTCTCCTGCTGTTTGCTGGGAATTTTAGCAAACGGGTTGGGGAGTGAACTGGAAGTTACACAGTGCTCAACAGCCCTAGAGACCCTGAAAGCCACTGCTGTCAGCAGCTGTCTCACCCGGCTGTTGGGAATGTTTGGAATGCTGTGCTGGGTGCTGAGGTGCCTCTTGCAGGACAGCATCAGCATCCCTGGGACAAGCTGTGTGGATGCAGCGGGTCCTCTCACAGCTGCCCAGGGAGAATTTCCCAGCTGTGCTTGCATACAGGCAAGGTGGGTCAGCTCAGCCCTACAACAAGCTCTGCTGAAGTCCCTGAGGTTACATCTGGGCTGAATTTGCCCTTTGTATTGAAGCATCTTTGGGTTCTTGTGTGGTCACGGCCAGAACTGGAAGAAGTTTTTGTGGAAGTGTCATATTGTCCCTCTGGAGCCTTAGCAGGATGTGATGACATTCCCTTCAAGACACTGCCTCGTGTCTTGTGTGGCTCCATGCTGCTGCATCCCCATCCAGACTGGGCATTGTTTCAGTAGCTGGTAAATGATTGCCCATTCCTGCAGAGCCAAATTCAGCCTTTAGTTTTTCAAACTCTGCTGAGACAAAGCAGAGCTCAGGTTGTCCAGGCAGTGAGAAGAGCTGCTGAAGGTTTTAGTGCAAGCAGTACCTGTAGTACTTTTTGGGGCAGTTGATGCCCCTTGGAGCTGAGCTGGGCAGGAGCAAGTCCATCTGTGCCTGCAGGAGGATGTTCTCTTCCTGTACCCTGCTCCCACCCATGGATTGCGTGAGTTGGAGGCAGCCCCTGGGATGAGTTACATCGAGCCTCCTGAAGGTGAGCCCACTCTCGCTCTGCTGAGGGATGTTTCTGGGCTGAAGAGCTCAAAAGTGATTTATTCAAGGTAAATGCACATTAGGGTTGAGAGGGTAGATCCTTAAGAGCCAGGAAATTTGATACCTTTGTTTCCACAGTAACTGTGCAAGGGCCCTTATGCCCATTGGTAGCTGTTAGTATATATAATATATATGGGTACACCTGGGATCCAGTCTACAGCTGGAGTGGGATTTATCATTTCTGGAGGGAGATGGGGAGAGTAGATGGGGGAAATGGTTGCTCTGAATGTAGCCTTTTAATTGAAGAAGGGAGAAAAACCTGAGAGCTGTGATTTATACCCAGTCTCATAAACACTTTTTCAAATTTTCCTGCCTCCTGAGCTCTTGCAAATGTGATCATGCCTGACAGAACCGGTTCCTAATGGAAACTCAAAAAATAGGTATCATGTTATGACCATGAATTTCCAGAAATGCAGCCAGCCAATGCCCAGGCAGCAGAGATTTGGATGACTGCTGTGGTTTTACATGTGAATTACACCAGCCATGCTAAACCTGTGAAATTAAAATGAGAGTGAACTGCTTAAGCTGTGGGTTCAGTTCTGCCCTCCCTGACCCACGCACAGCAGCAGCGAGAAGCCACAGGGACTTCAGGGGATCTTGTGGAGTTTAAGCTTGT